GCTCATGTTTTCTGGTTGCTTTAGCTTCTCTATGCTCAAGAGCACGTTTCAGACATCCATTTCTTTTTTCCAGTCTTGTCTTTTTAGTGACCTTTTACTTTCTCCTGTATGATGTTCTGATGGTATCCCGTAACTCTTCTGGTTTTCGGTCTTTAGTACCTAGTGCATCGGATCTGTTTCTAGAGATGGTCTCTGAATTCAAGGGGATGTGTTCAAGGTCATAATTTGACTCTTGCTTTAATTTCTGAAACTTGTTTTAATTTTCTTCAGCTTCAGACTGAACTTGCATATGAGCAATTAATTGGTCTATTCCACAGTCTGCCCCTGGTCTTGTTCTGTCTGATGATATTGAACTTTGCCATGATGCCCTCCCACAATGTAGTCAGTCTGATTTCTGTGTATTCCATCTGGTGAGGTCCAGATGTATAATCACTTTTTTTTTTTTAATGTTTTATTGTGAATTATGTGATAGTTTACATGGGAGAATATCAGTTTTGCATTCATCCTATCGTATATCGTTTCATTGCCATGGTTACAGTCCCTTCCCTGCATCATCAACCAACCACAGGGTATACCCTGCAAGCCTGCCCCCCAGTCATCAGCACACAGCCCCTCTCCCTCTCTGGGTCTAAAGTCCCCAGCTGCTCCATCTCTCCACATCATTGTCTCTGCTTCCATCTTTGGCGTCACTGCTTCCCTGGGTAGGGTTCTGCTCTCCACTCTTTCCCTTGATGGTCCCAGGGACCTTCGCTCCTAGACTGCGAAGTCAATTACTCCCCTCCTTTTGCTACAAAATGTCTACCTTTACATTTCCAACCTCACAATCAGTCCTGATAACAGTTATTCACCATTGTATCACAAGAGCCCTAGCCGCATCTCCTTCATCAGCCCTGCCCAGACAGATTGGGTACTGCTCAGTGGAGATTCTACCTTCCTCCACACCCTCTGGATCTAGGCTCCCTCTTGAAACTTGTAAGCCAGTCACTTCTTGCCTTTGTAGTCCCCCCATTTTGGGTAGCCAATGTCCAAGTTGCCCACCCCTGCCTACTCTGTGTATGGAGGGGTGGGAATGATCCTTGCTGTAAAGATTTGTTCCCTCTTTTGAGCTACTGCATCCACAGGTGTAGGTCAGTTTCATCAAATTGTATCGGATTACTCTTTTTTTCCTTTTCTGTCTCCTTCTAGTTGAGCTCTGATCATCCAGTCATTGAAGCTAAGTCAAGTGGGTATTATCTGCAAGTGTGGGTTTTCTTATGCATATACCCTCTCTTCTCATCAGCTGGATGCTTCACTCTCCACTCTAGTCCTCTGTGGCTATGTCACTGACTCTGGGCCCGAGTCCCCAGATCTTGTCACACTGCTGGCCAATCAGGTCTCCACCTGGGTTCACAGGAGTTTATTGAATGTTGTAGGACTTAGCTCGCAGCTTCATTGCTGTTTTTCCCTCACTTCCCCTTATCGGTGACGAATGTAGTCACCAATCAGAGCATGTAGTCCCATTGAGTCTTAGTTGTAGAAGGGGGTTTGCCCTGAGGGGACTCGACCACTTGCCTTGATGTCTCCGGGGCGAGCAACTTGCTTGTTCTTGTAGTAATCCGTTGGACTGCCTTTATTGTTTTATGTTTTTCCTGTCAGTCTTTCTTTCAAGAAGTATCTTCTATTCTTCTAGCCACTCCAGGCTGGTCTCCTTGCCCTTTAAAGTGGACATTTCCCACCTCAGAAGATTCTGGAATCGGTTCAGGATTCCACCTATGGTCTTATGTAATGCAGAGGCTCCACAGGAAGCCGCCTTCACTGGGCACGTTGTAGCCCCATTTTAGATATTCCAATCAGTTATAGGCAGAAGATGGACTTACAAGCTTCCTATGGTCGTATTTCTGGCTATTCCTTTCTCTCCCCCTCAAGTGTCTACTTTATAATGGTGTGCCAGGGAAACCAAGATTCAAAAGACAGCCAAACATCTTTATATTGTTTCCCTCCTTTTGCCTATTCCAACTATGTCTCAATTCCTGTATCCCAGAGCCCCGTTGTTCCAAGGTTGTACATACATCATTATTTACCTCTGTCCCACTTAGCCCATGCAAACCTGCGTGATTGTTTTCCCGTCCGCTTTGTTCTTCTATATAGTCACCTTTTATGTTATTGAAAAATTTTGTTATGAGCTCTCCAGCATCATTTCTATCACCAGGACCATATTTTGCAACAACCGATCCTTCTTTGTTTTCAACTTTCACATTCCAATAACCAGTAATTATCAGTGCATCTTGATTGCACGTGTGGTCAGTGTCAGATTGAAGAAGTTGGTAGAATTATTCAATTTCTTCTTCATTGACTTTAGTGGGTGGTGTGTAAATTTGAATAATAGTGGTATTAACTGGTCTTCCTTGTATGCGTATGGTTGTTATCATATCACAGACGAGACATTGTACTTTAAGATGGCTCTTGAAATGTTCTTTTTGATAATGAATGTGACGCCAGTCATCTTCAATTTGTCATGCCCGGCGTAGTAAGCCATATGATTGTCTCATTCAAAATGACCGGTACCAGTCCATTTCTGCTCACTAATGTCTAGGATATCAATCTTTATCTGCTCCATTTCATTTTTGATGATTTCCAATTTTCCTGAATTCATACTTTGTACATTCCACGTTCTGATTTTTAATGAATGTTTGCAGCTGTTTCTTCTCATTTTGAGTTATGCCCCATCAGCAAATGAAGGTTCTGAAAGCTTTATTACATTCATTTCATTAAAGTTAACTCTACTTGAGGAGGCAGCTCTTCCCCAGGTGGCATTTTGAGTGCCTTTGCGCTATAGCTGACCATCATCTACTGCTGTTCAGAAGTTTTCATCTCCAGCAGTGTGTCTCACAGTGGCCTGCTGCTGCTCATAAGGTTTTCAGTGGCTAACCATTCAGAGGTGGTCTGCCACACCATCTTTCTTCCTAGTCTTAGCCTGGAAGCGCACCACTGAGACCTGGCCACCGTGGGCGACCCTGCGGGTATTTAAAATACCAGTGGCATAGCTTCCAGAAGTCACAGCAACACACAAGCCACCACAGTAGGACACACTGACAGATGAATGGTGGCATATTTTGAAATTAAAAAAGTAATTAAGTCTTCTGTGATTTTTGTAGCACTACTTTTTAACTTACTTTTATATGTTTGTGCTATTTTTAGGTTTTTGGTGTTAGTTTGGTATGATCTGATAGGTTGTTTTCTGGATCCTGGGAATTGTTTCTCATGTAAATTAATGATAATAGTTTCTTCATTTTACTTCATCTGAACTTACTAAAGGTTTCTTAGGAATGCTCTGTTTTGGGTTAGTGAATGACCCCTGTATAAGGTAGTTCCCAGCTTACCATGGTTCTGTCCCGACAACTCTGTGGTATGTTAGTTCTGATATAAGTCTCAAACCTCTTATTTATTTATTTTTTAAAGCTTTTATTGTGAATTGATAGTTTACATGGCAGAACATTAGTTTTCCCGTCGTGCACCATCAGTTAACACTTCTTGCCTCTGTTCCCTCTTTTTTTTTTTTTTATGTACACAAAAACATGCAGGAGTATATAATTGTTTAAACAACCAAAGGGCACATTTTGCTGTATGACCTGTTATTTGTCTGTGGGGATTGGCCCAAGAATGATAAACATCACTAAGTTACACGCCGCAGCATTATACGTAGTACCTGTTCCTAATGATAAGATAGTCTGAACACATCATACAGCGGGGACACTGTGTTAGGTGTACATGACACTCATGAGAGCCGGACGCCATAGGGCTGCCTTGGTTTTCCAGGATTCACAAGGCTTCCACCTTTGACAGGGTGCAGTCTTACCACTTGGTGTTGCTCTCTATTGGAATCCTGGTTTGGTGCTGCAGGATAAGTCACGGACCACAAGGTCAGCGGTTCAGACTCACCAGCCGCTCCTTGGAAGACCTATACAGGGTCACTTTGAGTCGAGACCGACTCGACGGCACTTAACAACAACAACATTGCTCTCTGTTAGTAGGCAATAGCTGAGTTTTCGTTTGGGAAAAGTGTCTGTCTCACATGAGTGCCAGTGTTTGCAGGTTTTCCTGTATATGGAGGGACTTCAGAAAGTTCATAGAAACATCCCGTTGTTTTTAATTCCAGTTTTACTTACATTTTCTGAAGCCCTCTCTCGTTTTTATGTATAAGTGTGTGTATGTGTGTTGTTAGTTTCAGATTTGTGGACTTGTAAATTTGAATGATCCTGTGATGTTTGATATATCCAAACAATGAGTAATTCCAGTCACAAATTACTTTGTATCTTTAAAGAAACATTATTGATAAGCGTTTCCATTTGTACTTTGGTTAATGAAATCTTGGTGTTTCTAATATAGAACCAAAAATAAACTTGGTTGTAAAAAATAAATTGGTAAGCTGCAAGTAAGCATAATTTGAATTCCTGTACTTTCAGCTTTGCATGCCCTTTTTTAAAGTTACTCATCCTCATTTTAGCACAGTGATAAATAAAATAATTGCTTTTCCATTACAATACTAAATTATTAAGGAGCTCTGGTAATGTAGTGGTTGCGAATTGGGCTGCTAATCCCAAGGTCAGCAGTTCGAAATTACCAGCTGTTCTGAGGGAGAAAGATGAGGCTTTCTGCTCTCTCTCGATGGCACCTAACATCGCATAATTTAATGTTGGTGCTGATTTATGCTGTGTAGTTGGCTCCGACTCATAGTGACCCTATATAGGATTTCTGAGAAGCAGCTGGTAGGTTTGAACTGCCAACCTTGTGGTTTGCAGTCCAGTGTTGACCCCACAGAATAAGTGGTGCTACCTCTGTCATCTATATGTACTTACTAATTGTATCCATTGGTGTATTTTAGAGACAAGAGCTGGTAAGACTGGTTGTGGGTATAAATTAGTAAAAGTTGGAAAATTTGAAATTTGGAATTTCTTGATTTAGTAATATTGACATATCTTTGCCTTTGATTCATTTTTAATTTTTTTTATTGTTGTTGCTAGAGCTCCACCTCAGATAAGGCGTCCCAATCGAGACATAAGACCTCTGAGGAAAGAAATGGCTGGAGTCGGAGCCCGGGGACCTGTGGGCCGAGCACATCCTACATCCAAGAGTGAAAAGCCGTCTTCCAGTAGAGACAAGGATTACCGAGCCCGAGGAAGGGACGACAAGGCAAGACCTGCTCTTCCTAAGTCACTTGAAGCCCGTGTCTTTGGGTGGCAGTATAATTTGTGTTGGCTTTTCAAGGTTCCTGGGTGTGGGATGTGGTCTTTGCAGTTTGAAGGCCCTGCTCAGTGCAGATAACCTCAGAAGCATGTGTAGAAACAAAGGCCACACACACGCACTATCATTATAACGTAGATTCTTTGTAGTGGTATTTAATGTGAAGTCAGAAAACTTGGGAAATTATTTTAGCAAGCATTCTGATTTAAATGAGCAATAAGTGAAAAACAAATAATTGTAGGAAAAAAAACTTACAAGGAGGGTTAAGAGGAGGGTTCCAAAAGTTCATGGAAAAATGGAAGGTAAAGAAAATGGAGCTTTCTAGGAGTTTTTTTTTTACAGCCCCTGGTGTATTCACAGGATAAGGTGATAGATATGATTACTGTTGTTAAAAAAAAAAAAAAAATCCTTGATTTATCTGGAGTGGAGAGTAGAATGCGGTTTTTGTTTTTTTCCTTGATGAAAAATGTTCCTTGGTTGGGGTTCATTTGTGTGTTGACTGGCTGGGATATTAATCGCTGCATAGGTAATAGTGCTGAGTGGGCATTTTCTCCTGCCCTTCCAAGCGAGCTTCGGAGCTCGAGTGGCGGCAGCCTTGCAGCCTAAGGACTTAGTCAACGTGACATGTCACATGTTGCAGTCTTCCTTTTGCTGCTGCAGTTGTAAAGTGCCATCAGGTCGGTTCTGACTCATTATGACCCTGCGTAGGATTTCCACGGAGCAGCTGTGGGGTTTCAGCTGCCGACCTTGTGGTTTGCAGTCCATTGCTGAGCCTACAGCCCCACACCAGGAGCCCTTCCTTTAATGAAGAAAAGGAAAATATGTTTTTAGTGACAGGATTTGCCATTTCCCTGGTGGTGGCATAAAGGAATGATGATGCAATTGAATTGCCACAAAGAAGTGATTTCATAGTTTGGGATTCATATGCCATCATACTTATAATGAAAATGTGACTTACTGAAATTTCCTGAGATTTTTCCATTCACCAGATAGACTCAGTGATATATTCTACCCCTCTCCCTTACCTGTTGTTGTTGTCAAGTGCCGTCGAGTCGATTCCGACCCATAGCAACCCTGTATAGGGTTTCTGAAGAGCAGCTGGTGAGCTTGAACCACCAACCTCGAGGTTCAAAGTGACTTTGCAGTCCAATACGTTAACCCACAGCACCATAAAGAAATGCCAGCTTGATCTTATCAATGTCTAAATATCTGCAAGGTCTAGAAAGGTGGTCCATTTTGGGTTCTTATATACCAATTGAAATTACAAGTAGTAGAAATATTCACATATTGTATTAAATATGTGGACATTCCCTACCTGTTAATGTAAATAAGTTATAACTTCATTAGAAGTACGTATTGTGGCCTGAAGGTCATGTCTGATCCTGAATCCCTGACTCAGAAGACAACGCTGCATCACCAGCCCTGTCTGTCTGTCTGTCTGTTACGCTGTGGTGGCTTGGGTATTGCTCTTATGCTGGACACGACACTGCAGTGGTGCAGACAGGTTTCCATGGCTCTTTTAGACTAAGACAGACTAGAAAGGCGATGTACTTCTGAAAATTAACCAATGAAAATCTTCGGATAGTAACAGACCATTGTCTAATACAGTGGTGGACTACGGCCTCCCAGGTTGAAGGGCACTCACTGAAGCCACCTTCTCACAGAAGAGTCAGCCTTAATGATGGTCATGGACTAAAGCCTATGGAACTGTCATTCACTGATGTGGCGTTTATTAGTTGTTGGAATGAGGCCTGCACAGTGTAGGAGTTAAGGAACATTGGAAGGCATCCAGAATGAAACGAAGTACTTTGAAGATAACTATTCTAGGCATTAGTGAGCTGAACTGGACTGATAGTAGCCATTTTGGGTCCAGCAATCATTTGACAGAGCTTCAGAAAATTTGCAGAAAAATGGAATTACAATTAAATTTTTTCATGAGCTTTTGGAAGCTTCCTCATGTGGTCTCCTATGCTTGGAACAATACATTGATGAGAAACAGGGTTGTCTGTTCCTTAAAAGGAACACTTCCAGATTTATGCTGAAGTGCAACGTCATCGGTGATAGGTTACTATCCATGCAATAACAAGCAGACTAGCTAATATGATGATGTATGCAATGACCACAATTTCCAAAAAATAAAGGCATGAAAGATTTTTCTGACCTACTACAGTCTGAGAAGTCTTGGTGTGGCACTGTTGGATAAGCACTGGATTGCTAGGATAAGCATAGGATCGCTGTGAGCGACAACAACCACTGCAGCCTGAAATTGATTTAACGTGTAATCAAGATGCATTAATAATTACTGGTGATTAGAATGTGAAAGGTGGAAAAAAGAAGGATCTGTAGTTTGACAATACAGCTGTGGAGATAGATGCATGAGAAATCACGGTAGAATTTTGCAAGACCAATGACTTACTCATCAGAAATACTTTTTTGGTCCTTGAACAACACAATTGATAATTATAGACATTGACCTTGCTGAGGGTTTACACAGGAGCCAGAAAGACTACAACTGTGGAAAGAGATGATGGATCAGTTGAGACAAAGCCAGAGGCCAAATGTGGAATACCCCATCAATCGCTTGTTTGCAAGTTCAGGTTGAAGCTGAAGAAAATCAAACCAAGTTCATGAGATTTAAAATAAAACCTTCGGTTCATCACACTTGAATTGAGAGATCATCTCAAGAATAGATCTGACACACTGGACACTAATTGTTAAAGATCAGAAGAGTTGTGGGATGACCCTCAAGGACATCATTACATGAAGAAAGTGAAAGGTCGTTAAAAAGACAGGAAAGAAGGAAAAGACTAAAAGGGATTCCAGAAGAGACTGGAACTTGTTCTAAGTGCAGAGTCACTAACATGAACAGAAGAAATGATGTTTTAAAAGAGCCCAACAGAAGATTTCAGGGACAGCTAAAGATGAAGATCAAAGAGCACAGCCTTCGATATGGATTACATCTCAATGTCAAGAAAACAAAAATCCTCACCACTGGACCAATAAACAACATTCTTATCAATGGAGAAAAGATTGAAGTTGTCAAGGACTTCATTCTTCTTGGATCAACTATCAACACTCGCGGAAGTAGCAGTCAAGAGATCAGATGACATATTGGCATTAAGCAAATGTTCTGCACAGGACCTTTTTAAAGTATTGAAGAGCAGAGATGTCAGCTCGAGGACTAGGATGCGCCTGACCCAAGCCATGGTATTTTCAATAGCCTCATATGAATGCAAAAGCTGGACAGTGAATAAGGAAGATCGTAGAAGAACTGATGCCTTTGAGTTGTGGTGTTGGAGGAGAATACTGAAAGTGCCATCGACTGTCAAAAGAACCAATAGATCCATTTTGGAAGAAGTGCAGTCAGAGTGCTCGTTGGAGGCCAAGATGGCTAAGTTTCATCTCTCATACTTTGGACATATTGTCTGGAGGAAACAGGCGCTGGAGAAGGATGTCATGCTGGTTTAGGTGGAGGGTCAGAGAAAAAGAGGAAGACCCCTAACGAGATGGATTGGCCAGGTGGCAGCATTGATGGACTCAGGTGTGGCAGCGGTAGTGAGGTTGGCCCAGGATCGGACATTGTTTCGTTCTGCTGTGCATGGGGGTCACTATGAGTCGGTTCTGACTCGATGGCATCTGACAACAACAACAAAAGATGACATGGTAAATGTATCACAATCAGCACAAAATTGGAGTTAGAAAAGCAGAAGGGAAGAACACAGTCTGTGCTTCTCAAGCCGAAGAGAAGACGTCAGCCTCATGTTGCAATACCAGAGAATTCTGTGGGCAAATAATTGAATGGCATAGAAAGCATCAAAAGAAGATTATAGAAATTGAATCAGTGTACCTGAAAGAACTGGTCATCATTCAACCCTTTCAGGAGGTAGCATATGATCAAGAACTGTTGGTACTACAGGAAGAAGCCCATTGGCAAACAACCTAGGCTCCAGGACTTGACAGAGTTTCAGCTGAGGTGCTCAAACAAGTGGGTGCAATGCCAGAAGCACTCACTCTAGTGTAAATCAAGAACTTTGGAAGACGGCTGCCTGACTGAATGGAAGAGGCCCACGTTTGTGCTCATTTCAAAGAAAGGGGACCAAATGGGCTTTATTGAACTATATCATTAATATCACATGCTAGCAAAAGTTTGACGAGAATTAAAAAATGGCTCCAGCTGTGTATTGACAGGAAGTGCCAGAAATTAATGCTGGATTCAGCAGAGTACATGGAATGAGGGATATCATTGCTGATGTCAGATGGATCTTGGTTGAAAGCAGACTTTCAGGATGATGTTTGCCTATGTGTGTTGATTACATGAAGGCATCCAAATGCGTGGATCATAGCAAATTATGGATGACATTTTCAAGAATGGAAATCCAGACACACAACCGTGCTCGTGTGGAATCTGTACGTGAATTCAGAGACAGTTGTTTGAACAGAACAAGGAATTACTGTGCAGTTAAAAATCGGAAAAGGTATGTTATTTGGGTTATATTCTTTCACCATATTTGGTATGTATTCTGAAGACATGCTAAATGCCATACATCCTTTGATATCTTAACTGTTGCTTCCATGTGCGTTAATTGGTGATCCAAGTAGATGAATACCTTTGACAACTCCATTTTCTTTTCCATTTATCATCATGTTTGATGTTGGTCCAGTGGTGAGGATTTTCAGTCTCTTCATGCTTGTGTGCTATCGTCTTGGATCTTCATCACTAAGTGCTTTAATTTATCTCAAGGTTGTTATCAGCTGCAGAATCCTGGGTTGTAAACGAGCCAGCCCCAATCCTGACGCAACACTCTTTAACATTCTCATAGACTCTGGCACCTTTGGAATTGTCTCTAAAATTCTGAAAAGCAAAGATGTCATTTTGATGACTGAGGTGCTTTTGAGCCAGTCCAGGGTCCTTGAGTCACGACACATGCATGCGAAAGCTGAACGACAAA